ACCTCTTATCTCTCCCCCAAGAAGCCCCAATTCCCTTACAATTATGCCCAAACAACGAGTCTCTCTCCACCACTTGCTTAGCTAACGTATCAGCTATAGCATTTGTGCTCCACTTAACCCACCCTATCCTTACTTCCATATCTCTAGTTAGCCACCTGAATTTCTTCCTATTATTATTATACATCCACATTTTCATTCCCTCATCCTATAGCAAGTTGATCACCAATTTTGGGTCTCCCTCAACACTTAATTTTCTGATGCTCATTGCCTTCGCCCTTTGTATGCCTTCCATTACAACCATGACTTCTGCCCTCAATGAATCTCCTTCCCTAGTCAGCCCAGAATATAGTGCAATACTTTTGCCCTCCTCATCTCTAAATGCACCTCCATTGCCGGAAGCTCCTAGATTTCCTAAGCTACTACCATCAAAATTTAGTTTAATAAATCATCTATCCAGTGGGCTCCAATGATGAGCTATGATAGCCTTATTAGTAAATGAATCTGTCACTGCCCTCCAGTTCCTCAGTAAATCATTTGCTGAAATACAAGACAAGTCTTTCAAGGACTTCAACCAATGCACCACTTTCATTTCAATTGCTTCAAATGCTTCTTTCCTTCTTGCTTTATCCATGAAAATTCTTGAGTTCCGCTCAACCTACTACCAATTTTGAATCTCCATCCACTTCTAACTATAGAAAACCCAATTGTTTATCCAACCTGAGGCCTTGGAGGAGTGCCAAAACTTTTGCTCTAAGTGAGTCACCTAATCCTATCGAGCCAAAGAAAAGGGCTAGAACTCTTTCTTCCACATTTCTAAAACACCCCCAATTCCAGAAGGACCAAGATTACCTACAGAGCTGCCATCAAAATTCAACTTCATGCCAAAACGCAAAGGAGGGGACCAATCCTCATGGAAGGTAATATATAAGTAGGAAGAGCCCGCTACTATGCTCCAGCCTCTAAATAAACCATCTACAAAGAAGTCCTTGACGAGATCCAACAATTCCAGCAATGTATAGCCTTGATGGTGATCCCTTCTATGAGTTCAAGTGCTATTCTTACTTGCCCTTGGAAAATCTTGTTATTTCTCTCTTCCCGCACTGCCCAAATAATTAATACCCTCGTTGTTCTCCACACCACCCATCCTCTTTTCTTTGGTTGTTGGAAAAAGCTAAGTTCTTTTTTTAATCAATAACACATTTCATTAATTAATCATAGAAATAATTTCAAAGGGGAAGATAAACTTTCTTATCTTCCAGCTGAGGCTTGAGCCCCCAAGAAAGGAAAAATAATAATTACACCTGAGCCCAAAGCATAAACTCCCTCTCCATCCCTTGCTTAGCTAACCCATCAGCAAAAGAGTTAGCTGATCTTTTCATCCAACTGATCTTGATTTCCATCTCTTGAACCAGCCACCTAAATTTCCTCCTCTCATTGCTGTAATTCCATAACCCACTGTTGTCTTTATTCAGCCACCCTACCACCACCTCCGAGTCTCCTTCAATTATAAGTTTTCTTATATTCATCTCCTTAGCTCTCTGGACTCCTTCCATAACTGAATAGATTCCGGCTCTGAGAGAGCCACCCACTCCAATTGGGCCTGAGAACGAGGCTGAAACAATCCCATTCTCATCCCTAAACACACCCCCAATCCCCGAGTGTCTAGGATTCCCTCTACTACTCCCATCAAAGTTTAGTTTTAAGAAACCAGCTGGTGGAGGGGTCCAAGACACACTCATTACTATTTTGGTCTGGGTGCAACTAGCAATCTCACCCCACTTCCTCAACATGTCATCCACTGTGTAATATGTGAACTCTGAGGATTTCAGCCACTGTACAACCCTTATATGGATCATTTCTCTCAGTCCTTCAGCACCTCTCTCTACTTCAAAGAAGATCCTAGAGTTTCTTTCTTCCCATAAAGACCAGCATACCGCAGCCCTCAGGCATCTCCACATGGTCTTACCCCTTTCCATACGCCACCTAAAGAAAGAAGGGGAAAAAAGACTTTGTAAGTTTGATGGAGGGTTCCAAAATACACCCAAAGAGGGAGAAAGCCCACTCCCAAATAGACTTTGCAAACTGGCATGACACCATAAGGTGAAAACCAATCTCCCCATCAGCTTTACAAAGAACACACATGTGAGGGGATAAACATGTCTTGGGTCTCTTCTTTTGGAGCAAATCACCAGTGTTGATTCTTTCCAGAAAAACTACCAACCCTAGAAGGAATTAGTCTGCACCAAACCTCTTTAACAGGAAAGGGGAGGGCTACAAGACTGGTGGACTAGCTTAAGACTTTGAAGAATGAGGCACAAAAGAATAAGCCAGTGGGGGTGGGGGTCCAAATTCTGGAGTCCAAAAAAAAGCTAAATTCAAAAAGATCCACCACGCTTGTAGGAGGATTCCACCTACACCAAATGAGAGAGAAACATTCCAAAATGTGAGTAACAAAAGGATAGGATATTAATAAATGATTTACCGTCTCACCACTCTTCAAGCAAAAGCTATTGACATGTAGGGATAAGCACCCGTTTGATCTTTTGCTTTGAAGCACATCCAAACTTCCAAAGGTTAATTTTTGGAGAACCACTTCCTAACAAAAGGCCCATTCACTAATGGGCCTTTCAAAGAACCACTTTCCATGAAGCAGTTTTCACTATGCAACCAAAAAACCACTTACATCTTGAATTTTGTTTCCAACAAATTTCTTCCTTCCTTAGAATGTCCTCTAGCTGCACTTTCAAATTCCATCTTTTTAATCTGTCCTCCAAACCACACTCTCTTTGGACCTCTTTTTGGTCTAGTTCCTCTAATAGTCTATCCTTTTAGCAATTTCCCCCTTTTTCTCTTCTAGTCTCCTAAAACTTCTCTATTCCACTCCTTAATTTTTTCTTTCAACCTCTTCAATTTCTTGGTGAATCTCAACCCTCTATTCTAGTCATTGATTCCTCTTTCATCCACCAAGCTTTCACTTTGTCTACAAATCTTGGAACTTCCCCAAGGAGGTTTTCCTCATTTAAACACAAAGGGTAATGGTCTGAGGTTAACCTAGGAAGGGCTTTCAGAGTTAGGTTTCCCCACAATTCTTCCTAATCAATGGAGAGCAGGAATCTATCCAATTTGGGACAAACTTGATTTCTTAAAATTTTGGCCAAGTGAAAGTAGCTTTTAGCAATTGAGGTTCTTTCAACTCTATGAACTCTATCAAATTGTTGAACTTCCTCATTGCTGCTAGTATATTAAATTCTTTACATACTTATGATATTGAAAATAAAGTGTTTTCTATTAGTTTTAATAACGCCAGTAATAATGATTCAACAATAAATATTTTAAAATCTCAATTAAGACCATGTTTAAATGATAATTTATTTTATATTAGATGTGTATGTCACATCTTACGCTTATGTGTACAAACTGCTTTAAAATTATTTCACCTCACATTTCTAAAATTAGAAATCGTATTATGTGTATTAAAAGTTCTAGAACAGGAAAACAAGAATTTAAATATTTTATGCCAAAAACATGGTCTAAAATATAGAAATTCGGTATTAGATGTTCAACATAGGTGGAATTCCACTTATTATATATATTTTTCTTATCAGCAATTCCACCTAGTCTATGTTAGAGAGTTGTATTTCATATAAAGACATTCTTACTTTTATAATCAGAAAATGCTCCATGGTTTTATAACTAATGACAATTGAGAAATTGTTGTTTGTATAAAAGATTTTTTTACAATTTTTTTATGATACAACTAGTGCATTTTCAGGTGTTTATGATACAACTTCTCATATTTTAGTTAATCAATTATTTATAATTAGTGATTTTTTAAAATATAGAAATAATTTAAAATTTCAAAATATTATTGATGTAATGGAAATTAAATTTGAAAAAATATTTTGCCTCTATATTGCTTAGCTACAATATTAGATCCTAGGATTAGAAAAAATAGTTTGGATGTTTTTCTTGAATCTTATTATGAAAATATAAGAAGTGATTTTGGAACAAAATGATGAAGTTAATAATTTATTATTTAAAATGTATAGTATATATGAATCACAATTATTAGGACATAGAAGAACTTGTACAACCTCCATTACTGGAACCACTAGTTCTAGTAGTGAAAGAGATAGAGTTTGGTCATTAATAAATAAAAGGCAACAATCAGCTGCCACTTCATCATCAAGTTCATTTACTAAACATAGCTTTTATTTACAAGCTAATTTTAATAGCTTAACAGATGCCCTCAACTCTAACGGATTAAATAATTTTGATATTTTATCCTAGTGGAAAGAACATGGAAAAAAAATATCTAGTGCTTGCCACCATGGCAAATGATCTACTAACTCCTCCTGTGTCCACCATTCCATCAAAGTCTTGTTTTACTACAAGTAGTAGGGTATTGGACAACAAGAGAAGCTACATGAATGGTGAAAGCCTGTAGATGCATATATGTTTGAAGGATTGATTGGATATTGAAGACAACTATAAAATCAGGGAGGGCATGACACTTCAACTGATAGTTCACGAGAAGAAAACGATGTAAATCAAGAACAAGAAGATGGAGGAGGTGGAACTTGAAGTTGATATTTTTTTGTATATTCAATAGTTGTACAACATTTTTAAAATTATTGTAAATGTTGTTTTTCAATTTTATCTAGAATTTATTTGATTATTTCAATACCACTATAAATTTTTATTTTCAATTTTATCATATTATTTTTATATTTTATTCCAATTCCATTGTACTTTTTTTCAATTTATTCTTTTACTTCATATGCAATTTTTGCTCCTCCCAACTTGATATATTCTTAGTGCATTTAAACCTAATGTTTTCACAATGAAATTGCTTTCAATTAACTACAATTTTCTTTAGGTTGATGTCTAGATTCTGGAGCCATTGATGCATGTGCCCCATGAAATGACTATAGTGAAATGCATATACTTAACATGATAAAACAAGGCCAATCCATCTAATCAGGTAAAGTAAATCTCACCAGACAATTCCCACTTGTCAAATTTCACCATCCATGCATCTGAACCAATCTGTGCAGATGAAACTCGATCTACCCATACCCGGAATTGTTTTCCCTGTTTGTCTCCATAAATCTTTGTCATTGCATCAATGCAGTCATGAAGAGAGCGCTCAACTCCAGAAGGATGGACAAGGATGCCGGCAGCATACTGAACAAAAAGATATACAAATTTAGCAACTTTACAATCAGTAACTAAGAAAAAAGCCATTAGGCCGTTACTCAATGTTGGTACTATCTTTCTGGGGTTTTGGGAGGCCCCAGAAAAAAATCAAGAGGGGAAACAAATGAATGGCCAATCCAACATCTAAAAAAGGTAAATGGGATAAAGTATTCAGAAAAATCAATCATGTCATCCTGTTAAAGTTGAGCAGGCATGTACACTAGGTATTACATATTCAAAGAAAAATATATTACACTACCAAGAAAAGAGTATAAATTTAGTCTTGTAAAACAATGAAGTTTTGGGTTTCTTTTTTTTTTTTTTTTTTTNGATTGAAAGAGACTATGACCCACTATTTGTCAGCTATCTAGGGTTTTGGCACAAAGTGGCCACTCTTGGATTCAAATCCGCATTCTCATGCTTATCAGCCTTAGATTCTTTTGAATAAAGTAACGAAATTATATTCTATTCAAAAAAGGGTAATGAAGGTACCATACATGGAAAAAGAGCTACACAGATCAAAAAAGTGAGTCTTGCACTCCCAAGTCAATCTAGAGTTGGGACCAAACCAGGGCAGTGATCTCAAATTTTTGGACCTTTTTTTTTGTATTTCAGTGGGAATTACATCCATGACTTTTCCAGATGAACCAGCTGGCACTTTTGTTAGTGGGTTAACTTAAACAGTTGGCTTTCTCTTACTAGAATAGTTGATTAAAAATCAAACAAAACTATTCTAGAAGGAAAAATGAATTGATATCAATTATCAAAAAAAAAAAAAAAAGAATTGATATCTGCCATACACAGAAAGCTTTCATGTTCTGCATATACTGCTGAGAGTTATCAACTTCTGCACGCCTCCATCTCTCATAGAACAAGTAAAACTTCACTACTTCATGACCAGGATTGGCATTTTCTTGCTTGCACTCTGAGAAGTCTGCAACATCTCTTGGAGGTATGCTTGGACCCAGCTTAAAATGACCAATTGCTTGTATTATTCCAGCTGCACACCTTTCAGTTGCATGGATTATATTAGGATTTCCCTTGGCATTTTGAGCATGCCACTGCAATAGTTCTTCCTGGGCATTGCTAACCTGCATATAAAACATACAAATGGGGAAAAAGTAATTAAAAAAAGAAACCAAAATGTTTTAATCGAGTTAACAAGCAGTTAAAGTGCACTTCAGGCTACCAACCATGACACCATATACATCTGGAATACTAAAGAGTTCAGCATCATTTCCAGAATCACCACAAACAAGAGTGTTAGTTGGTGCTTTTCCTTCAGATGTGAACTTTTTAAGTAGATATGCAAGAGCCTGTCCTTTGCCAGCACCTTGTGGTAGAACATCCAAATCCATTCCCCCACTGTAAATTATTTTTACATCTAACTGGCCAACAAGAAAGACAAAAAGAAAATAAAAGGAAAAAAGTAAAACCAACATCCAGACAACATATGGTTGTGGTAAGTGTTAAGTTAATCACAGAAAACAGCATACAAAGTTCAAAGAAACAAATTATTAGTATTCAAGAAATAGCATTTCTGTTCAGACATTCAATCTTACCCCACGTTTTTCCAAACGTTCTGAAAGAACCTTTATAACCTCCTGGGCCTTATCCTTCTGTATGTAAAAGCTCACCTTGTGTGGTCGCTGCTCCGTCTCTGACTGTGAATCATAAATTTCAATATATTCAGATTCTAAAATAGTATGAAAGCCAATTTTCTTTCATGCTGTATTATGTATAATGTCAATTTTTATCATGTGGAAACTTAATTTATTTACATTACTGATTAATTACAACATCTGACATTCATATTCACGGCCAAGATAGCAATCAAGGAACCAAAGGCTAGCAGCTAAAATGCATACCTGTAAAGTAAGCTGGGGGAACTTTGATGTTTCCTCTCTGACAATGTTTCTGTCCCATTTGTGATTCAGAAACTGCTCCCATCCATCATCTGGAACCATTGATTCACCATATGTTATCTCAGTCCCCACAGACATTATAGTTATATCTGGAGTCAACATGGGTTTCTCTTTCCTCAACTGTTTGTAAAGTGTAGGTGACCTTCCAGTCGAGAAAACTAACAGAGAATTATGACGATAGCTGGCTTCCCATAAGGCATTAAATCTAAGAAGTGAAAGGTTTTCCTGATCATGATGATCCACCTATAGACAGAAAAAACCTTGTGCAATAGAATAAGGGAAACACAAGAATATTATAACATCCATAACCATAAGTTGAAAATTATTTCTCAACCTACCATTGTATGATCAAGATCTGAAACTATCATGAGATGTGGGGAACCATTAAGTCGATCCATGGTTTCTCTAAAACCAGCCCCTAAGCCCTTCATATATATACAAAGTTTTGAAAATTAGTGAGGATTATTTGAATCAAGAAGTAAAAAAGAAGCTCACACCTTAGCATATATACTAAAACTGTGTTGAATAATTTGTGCATTTATCCTTTCAAATCTTGCCTAAATTGCATAACATTAATAAACATCAAGTTATCCTTGGATTAAATAAACAAAGCTTTCATCATCTAATGGATTAAATAAAATTATAAAAATGAGAAACAATATTCAAGCACCTAAAAAGAAGTGAATAGTTAAGGTAGACATGTACAACCACCTTTACTAATATGGTTAACCCCAATGAATCTAGTATACTCTTCAGCAATTTAGGAAATGGGTATTTCATCTCATGAGATGCAACTTGAGGATTTTTTTATGGATCAATAACTGAAGATTTCATTAAATGATTAAGGGTAGGATAGTACAAGGTATAAAAAGTAATTGGAGATAAAACCTCTTATCTCCAAATCACCTTAACCCTTGAATTACAACTAAGCCCAAAACATTTGATCCCTTTCCACCCTTTGTCTGGCTAATATATCAGCCATGCTGTTAGCCAACCTTTCCATCCATTGAACTTTTACATCCACAACCCTAGTGAACCATTTAAACTTTTTTAATTCATTTTTGTACATCCATGGATCATTTCCCATTTTTAGGAGCCAATTGATTGCCAACTGTAGATCTCCTTCAATATTGAGGACTATATTCAAGGTGATATAGCTGGATATGATTTATTGTCTGTGAATTTAATGGCAACTTTGAGGAGGATATTGCCATTGACTACAAACTGCCAAGAATTTTGGTGCATAAACTGTAAGGCACTTTTAGGAGAGTTTGTGAACACTAAGGTTGTTAGATAATGTATGCCCTTAACTCCAATCAAATTGATGTACACAAACATTTATATATGAATAATATCAATACATTATTGTTTTATGTTTAGATTGGTGTGTTTCTATGAATTATTCCTTAAACCAGACACTTATGAGACTTGTGTTAGTTTAGAATGTTTTCAGCCATTGGATAGACTTGGGAAGTTTATCCTGAGCTAACACTAATATCCTGCCAAATTGGTGGATCAGCTTGTCTCAGTTGTTAGGTTTAGACCCCAAGCACAATCAGTGAGTGTTTGGAAAAAAACATTAAACCTGGATCAATTTCCAATTATGCCCTAGACCTTGGAGACAGATGGGCAAAATTGGAAAATTACACTTAACTTAAGACTTGATTATGATACTGCACTAGGTCTTGGACTGAGTTGTTTTTGATACACCAACCAATGATATCCATCAAGGGTCAAATACTTGGACATGTTGGAGCAGTTTAGGAAATTACCTGAATGGGTGCTCATAGTGATAGGATTGGCCCCTTTGTCAAACAAAGTGAATATCAAGGCTTACACTCTCTCTGATGGAAACCTAAACTGTCGATAGTGGATTTCAACTGCATTTATACATATATTATGTTATTTTCTGAAAAATGTTTGCAAAAGGTTTTAATCTCAGGATCCATCTGAGCAAAGAGTATAACACTGCATTTTGCAGTTAGAGAAGAGGTCCTTCCATGTAAGTAGTGTTTTGATTATTAAGGGTTGAGATGTTAAGGGCAAGAAACCATTATAGGGTTGATAACCTTATGGGTTTTATCTTACATAAGTCCATTATCCTTGGATTTTCATAGGGTGGTTGGATCCAATGATCATTTATATTTAAGTGTTGGACCTAGACTAAGCCCAACTTGTTTGGCTCAAGGTTCACTACCCTTAGGCAGTGAATTTGGCTTGTCCCTTTCCAAGGGTGGGCCGAACCCTTATTGACTTGTATAAGACCTTTGTGGGTCCCATGCCACACAATATTCAGGCCTAAGTGGTCATGCATGCCTATGTGAGCCATTAAGGAAAATAGGCCTTAGGCCCATTACTAATAAGATAGTTTAAGAAGTCATGTGACATGGATCGAATATGGGTATGGAGCACCCGTCCTCCTCTTAAGAAGATAATGTGCTTATCTAATGGATTAAATCCTAATCCAAATCTAATTTGGATCAGCTCCTAAAAGGATTAGGAGAGTGCTCTATATCAGTGTTTAGAAAACCATATCGGATCGGTCAGTTGGCCCAGTTAAATCATGACCCAAGACATTGGTCGGTTCGGTCATACCCCAATAACCACTTTCATTCAAAAACCAGTGAAAACCAACTAACTAGCTGGTTTAACTGGTGAACCGGTTCCAGTTTCATGAAATCGCTTGGGTCTTTAAATAATAGAAATTTTAAATTGTGTTTAGCAAGATTGAACCCATGACCTTTTATTTTCATATATTGCTTAATTACCATTAGTCCACCTCTTAACTTGTGTTAATTAATGACTCTTTATTGTACATATTACTTTATTATGCATGTATTTTAAAGAAAATGTAAATTAAGACACTTGAACCATAATCATTTGCTTTAAAAATTAAATAACTCGGCATCAATACACCAGATTTAAAAATATTAAAAGTTGTAAAACATATTATATATACCATTTATATGACCTCTATTATATATATATGCCACGTTATCACGGTTCGACCCCAGTTGAACCTCTGACCTGTGAACCTCTTCCTTCTTTGGTCTCTAAACATTGCTCTATATAGGGGGGTAAGAGGGAGGGGACGAACTATCCTTTTCTCTCCACCCTCTAGCTATCTTTCTCTTCTCCCTATGCACCCCAAAAACCTAGTTTGAACCAGTTGTGGTGGGGGCTGATTCTCATTAGTCCTTTACTGTGTTTTTTAAGAAAAACATCAAAGGATACCAGGTTCACATAGCTGCATCAATCCAAGCAAGTTGGGATTTGATTTTGCTGAAATGGTGTTGTTGAATCAGCTTCACACATACAACTATGCCATCTTCAGTTGGAGGCCAATCTGGGTTTGATATTGGGCATGAACCACCACCACTTTGGGAGCTGCATACTATGGACTCCAATATTAAATATGATCATTTTTAAATTCGGGTTTCAACTGGTCCAAGTTCAATGCAACATCGATCCGAAAATTCAGGTTTCAAAATACCGAAAAACCGGTTCTCGGGTTAGGCTGAAATTTTTTTTTATTTCGGCCAGCAACTGTAACAAGTTCGGCCATGTTTAATCAAGTTTTTAGTCCGTCAAACAAAGGCGGTTTTATAGAAGATACAACTTTAAGGAATCTATTCAGGGTGATATAGCCGGATATGAATTGTTGTGCATGGACACTTTATGGAAACTTTGAGGTCAATATTGCAGTTGAATGTAAACAATCAAGAATTTTGGTGCATTATCTCTAAGGCACTTTTAGAGGAGAAATGGGAACTACTAATGTAGGGATTGAGATAGCTAACAGCAGACTCTCAAGTTCTATAGACTACAATTGCCTTCTTTGTAAGGATTGAATTGCTGTAGAGATGCTTTTATCTCTTAGCAAGATTAGTTTCCTACTTTTTCTAATGAAAAATGGAAATGGGAACAAGGCTGCTGTTCAAACCATCTTCACCAGCCCCCAGCGGACTTCCTTTGGACTTTCAGAAGATCTACAGATCACTAGTTCCTCACTTGGGCAACATAATACCTCAATTAAAGATGGACCAGATCCTATCCTTGTCCAGAGACAAAGCCAAGTTGTTGGTAGAGTGTTTCCTTCATCTCTGCATTCAGCAAGCAAAGCTACAGATCTCTCCCCTTCCCCAGCTTGCACTTCAAAGGTTGTTTTGGAGGAGAATTCCCTATATAGAAGCCCTTTAGTCCAGTCTTCTGCGGAACTTAGTGTAGACCCCTTGAAGCCTGATATTTTGCGCCAATCCTTTTTGGTTCCTTCTTGTGATTCAGCTAATCTTCCCCTCTCTCCTCTTGTTTTGTCTGTCCAGCCTGCAGGTGTTTCCAGGTCCTGCCCAACAGATGCCATTCCTAGCGATTCGGTGGGAGTAACAGAAGAGATAGGGGATGTTGAGGCTGTAGAAGAGTCTGAGGAAGGGGAGCGAATCTGGGAATTAATAGTGATCCTTTTCGAGCAGTTGGTAGAGGTGGAAATTCATTCCAGGTTAGGATCAGAAGAAGGGGCTGAACTTATAGGACTACTATGGAAAAGGAAGAGGGAGATTAATAAGAGTGGTGCTAGAACTAAAATGGCAATTAATAATTTTAGCAAGGATCAGGAAAAAGGACAAGAAGTAACTCAAACAAAAGCTCCAAACAAGGGGGAGGGAGAGACTTCTACAAGAAGAAAAAAGAAGATGAATAAAGTCCAAAGACTTAGGTATAGTGTGGATTATGAAAGATGAGGCACAGGAAGGAAGCAGAGAAAATTGGGTTAAATTAAGCTGAATCTTTGGGCCTATTTGTTTATATTTCCATGAAGATAATCAGTCAGAATGCGAGGGGATTGCGGAGCTCAAGAAAAAAGTGTCATTAGGGAAGTCCTTAGGAAAGAGAAGCCAACCATTGTCTTAATTCAAGAGTCAAAGCTGACAGGGGTGGATAGAAGATGGGTGAGGAGTGTATGGTCAGCTAGAGGGTTAAGCTGGGCTTTTACACAATCATGAGGAGCATCAGGAGGCATCATTACAATATGGAAGAATGAAGAGATGGACTGTACTGAAGAACTAATTGGCAATTTTACAGTAACAATCAAATTGAGAAGGAAAGAGGATGGTTTTGAGTGGGCTTTAACCAATGTCTATGAACCTAACTCGTATAGGGAGAGGGATGATTTTTGGGAGGAGTTTGCAGCCATAAGGGGTCTTTGGAATGGACCGTGGTGTTTAGGGGTGATTTCAATGTCATTAGGTTCCTAAATGAGACTACCAATCCAAACCATAGGGTCACCTCTAGCATGAGAAAGTTCAACCTGTTTGTGTAATCATATGAACTGAGAGAGCTACCCATGTTGCAAGCAAACTTCACTTGGTCCAATTTCCAAGAAGAACCCCTGTGTTGTAAATTAGATAGATTCTTATTCTCTTCAGATTTC